TACTCTCTCTCTCTCTCTCTCTCTCTCTCTCTCCCCGTAGATGAAGGAACGAACTTTTCGCGAGGATAATCACCGTCCCGAACGTAAAGGCGAGAATTAACAAATTTTGAACCACCCTCGAAACATTCATCGCGTAAAATTTTCCATAAATATATGGAAACGAGTTTATTCTCCAGTTATTGATAGATAAAAATTATCTATTCCAAATTTGTAAAGTATACTTACGCATACCGCGTACACGTTCCCGATAAATCACTCGAGAATATAATTCCGAATCGAATGGAAATTTATCGTGCATCGTAAACGATACATCATCGATACGGCGAATGGCGATGGGAAAGGCTTCGGCTTGGAAACGGAAGTTACGGGCGGGGGTGTAATGTAACTCGTTTTATTAAACTGACCCACGTTCGAGTTCATCGGGGGCAACTTCGTTAACCATTAATCCCCGGCTTGAGGGAACTTGGCGAGAACTGTCGAAGGTTCTTGAACCGGGAGCGAAATAATTACTTCGTGAGAAACTTATGGCACCGTTTCCGGGTGGAAAGAAGACCAAGTTTGTGGTCTCGTTTCAACTCCGCTTGTCGCTCGTTAGCGCCAACAACGATCCGCGTGTCTCGGAGGAGAACGCGGGAGCAATTGGGGCCAACCGTTTTCGCACCGATTCGTCGATTTCAATCGATCTCGCGACACACACGCACACGGGTCGAGCGAATGAAATATATATCGTATATTCGATTCGAAGGTAAAGGGAACCGAAGGTAGATATTAATTCGCAGGAAGGGGAGGGGTGCGAGAATTCCAGAAGAATTTAAACTATCAATTTATGACTGGCGCCAGCGGCGCGCATTGGATAATGGCCAACGATGTAGGAACGTCGTTAATCACCGGCAGCGTAGCACGGTTATTCGCTAAGTCGAAAATGCACGGGCCCGGATAGAACGGGGTCGTGAAATAATACCGCGACTGAAAATAACGAACGGATGTGCCGGTGATGGTTAAACCATCGACGTTGCGTGTACGTATAAATATTACCAAACCGGATAAAAAGAACGGTGTACACTGTAATCAGGAACGCGCGGGACATAAGGCATAAAGCAGCGTCGTAGCAGGGGCATAAATAACTTGAGAAAATTGCCAATAACTTCGGGACGCGCGTTCCGTGCCCCGTGTTACGTTTGATCTCGAAAATAGTTCGCTCGATTTATCGTCCAGATTTCCAGATTACGCTTATCTTGCGCGCAACGTAACGAGGGAACGTGGGTAGAGAAAGAAGAGGATCAGGAAGAGGAGGAAGAAGAATGGATTCAGCAACTCCTGTTGCGTTATCGTGCTACGCAACACCGTACCACACCGTGGATTCCGTATACACACGTCGTTGGACGCATGGCGCGATCATGAGAACGGGCTGTGGCGGCTATAAATATTCGATTCGCTGCTCTAATCTGTCGGTGGACGAGGTCTAACCAGGGCCCGGTATTCCTCGAATGGAATAAAACGTGGTGTAGAGCAAAGGTGGGCAACGTGGACGGGCAACCATGCGAATACGCGGGCTTCGAGTGCATGCGCCGGTGCGTATGCACACACAAGAGCGCACAGTTAGATATACGTAAGTGGAGACCGGCTGGTTGGCGCCACTCTAGCTCCTCTCTGCGCGTATAGGTGTAACGCGTAATAAACGTAATATCGTACGGGCCGATATGACCCGGCCATTTCATCTTCCTTTTACGAGACGAAACCGAGGGATTGGTATTATCTCTTCCTCCTCTTGCGCGCACGATCTCTCTTAATCGGCGTATCGGGATACGATGAGGCGACGACCACGATCACGACGACGAGGACGACGTGGGGAGGCCGGAAAGGATTTATTATAACGCGTGTGTAAATGAAATTCGTTCGATGAAGCCCCGTTCTCCGTTCGTTATTTCCATGATGAATTATAGTTTGCTCAGAGTGAAATGTTTATTCGAAAATATGTAAAGAGATGATTAAGAGAAATATTTCTTTAAATATTTCTTCGACGAAGCGTTTCATCGCTTCTGATCATCCCCTTGTAATTAAATTCTTCGCCGCTCGATCGTCTAATAATATACGATCTATGTTTATGCGTTACTCTATTATATTTTTCTCGATCAATTAATTATTGATTAATTATTTTCTTCTTTTTTTTTTTTCTTTTTTAGATTCTTTTTTAGAAATACGCGAAAAAGGTATTATAAATTCGATTTTGTATACACCGTAAAATAACTCGTTATACAAACGCGAGAGGATCAATCGTTAATTCGATGCCTGCAGGTATTGGCCTCACATTCCTCGATACGAGGGGCTCGTTCATAGCTCATAGTCAGAGTCAGAGTTCATGTTCTCGTATTTTCTGTCGTACGATTCATCGAAATCGATTCCTCCTGGCAGCGTACTGAATTTAATTACAACGGACATCGGTTTCGCCAATCGAACATCAAACTCTTTTACTTCTCCTCCATTTGCTCGATGATAACAAGAGCGAGAAAGACACGATTTATATTTTATTAAGATCGATTAAAGGTGGCGTGGTCGAAGAATTTTTGGATATTTATCCAAGTCGTTTCGATACCCAATTTGAATTTATTATAAACCTCGCGTATTGAAAATGATAAATAGAAAGACCACGCATACACTCCTCTGCATCGAATCGATGAAAAGAGATGAATTCGATTTAAAATATGTTCCCACGAAATGGCCGGGTCTTAGCCATGAATATGAAATTCCCTTTCTTTCTTTTTACTTTTTTTTTTTTTTTTTTTGTTATATACCTTCGCGTTAGGAATAACAAAACTTAATGGATTGAAATGTATGCATACTATTTTCGAAATCCCGAGTATCACATTTTCTAATTTGATTTTCTACCATCTCGTTGACAGCAAGCAATTGCCAATAGAAATCCGACAGCATTAGCATTTCATTAACATAATTTGAGAAACATTTGAGAATTACTTAATACGTGTTAGTTAAGTTATTTTCACGCTGAAAATAAATCCATATGATATGCCGAAAAACAAAATTCCTACTATCCTGAATTATCTCGAAACACGATAATACAAAGCTCTTTCTTTTTTTCCCCCCCGTGATCGTGTACGTGATCGTGTAACGACAACATCTTTTCACGGAGAAAACTCTCTGCTTCTTTCGAACAAATTTCTTTCGATTCACCACGATTCCCCGCCAATTAATCCTCGTACGCTCGATAAAACCACTTTCTTACATCTTTCTATCATCCATTCGAGCCATTCGCGGTTATCTGGATCGGCAAAATCGCGAGCAAAGAGGATCGGTTGGTCCTCGACTAATTAGTATCATGAATTATTCATATCGAGCGAGCTCGTGTCGTTTAACCAATATAACGATGATAAAATATACAAGGTGGAAAAGGGCGAGCGTTTCATTCGCGTGTGTAGCGAGTGTAAGCGAGAAAACGGACGGGTATTAATTTTTTTTTTTTTTTCTACGAGCATCCAAATATCACACGATAAGAAACGCAGTTTCACGAGAGACGGAACATAAGAATGTCTAACAAACGTCTTCATCCGTCTTTCATTTTCGCGTTCAACGTCTCACTCGTAACGAGCAACGTGTTCGCACTCTCTAGTCCTGTTTAGATTTATCGTTTTATTTACGCACGCCGTTCGACAACAATATCCCGAAACGATCGCGTTTAACGTCCACGTTTCTCGGTTGAAACGTAAAATCTAAAATTGTTGGCGGAACACGTGAAAGTCGGGCACAAATGTTTGGAAACAGTCGGTTGAATCGATCGTTGTACGTACTCGATTAGAATCCGGAGTAAGTATGTATGAGTATGTATGCGCGCACGATGAGGCGCGACTCTGCGTTTCCTCGTTGCACGATTAGCGAGGTTTATTTTGGCTCGCGAGCCGGTATGATGTCATCGTTTTGATCGCTAGTTCAATAAAGCGGCAAATATTAACTTCCACAGTGAATACATTCAAAGTGCACTTAGACCCGCGAAAATGACGAAATTATATACGATTTGTATCATCATCGATCTTGGTGAAATTTTATCGCGCAACGATTATCGAAAAATCGATAGATTTCTGTTATCTGTTATATGTGTATATAACCATCGTTTCTTCGATTTCTATCTAAAACGAATGGAATGGATCAATTTTAAGCATATCTATATCTTCGTTGCATTCGAAAAGCACGATACATATATCATTATTATATTATCTTCGATCGAGATACGTAAAAATGTGCGAGAGAGAACAAATATCAAAAGGAAGGAATCGAGAAGCGTAACGTACGGAGAGAAAAAAAAAAGGAAAAAAAAAAAGAACACGAGAACAAGAGAAACACGGGAACGCTCTCAAGTGTAACGCGAAAATCGCACAACACGCCGGTATATACCTTTCCTCGTGACCCCTTGTGGCAGATCCTTCCGCTTCTTTCCACGCGCACTTTACTTCCACTCTACCTTTCTCTCCGTTATTCTCCTTGACCTCGAACGGGTGCAATTATTCTTCGAAATTCTTGGCAGGATGATAGAGAGACGACTCTCGGTGACCGATCTTTGCCTTCCTCTTCGATCCAAGCGCCGCTCGACGTGTTGTTCCCCGTGATTCGAATCGCGTGCACCGCGCCGCGGAAACGAATTCGAGCCGGCGATAACAACGTAACACGCGCGATGATCTCTCGTGCTTTTTTTCTTTTCTTTCTTTTTTTTTTTTTTTCCTTTCTTCCCCACCCCGCGATAACAACGAACTCTCTCGACTCGTGTATCGATGCGTGCGTGTCGCGATCGATCGGCCGTCAGAGACGAGGAGAGACTGGACTGGAATTATTTTCACGTGTGTTTATCGATCGGCGCGCACGTATATACGGCGCGACAGAGCGGACCGTTCGCGCGCGAGCTTCGAAAAGCAATGCAAGCGCGAACGACACGGGAGCCTCTCGTTCCTTCCTACGTTCTTACGTCGATCTCGCTGCTGCGTCTGTCTCCCTTCCTTTCGATCGTCCTCCTCTCTCTCTCTCTCCTTCCTTTTTCTCCTACCCCTCTATCCTCCTCGCTCGCGCTCAATCATACCTGTCCTCCGTCTCTGTCCCCATTTCTGACTTTTACCTTTCTCTCTCTCCATCCCACTGTATCGATCCCCCTTCTCTCTCTCTCTGCTCCACGATACTTTGCCCGCTTCGAGCAAAGTTGTTACGCTCTTTTTCTCTCTTTCGAGAGCTCAACGATCTTTTTTCATACCTTCCTATTCCCACTCTTTCCTCTTATTTCTTCGTTTATCCCTTTCCTCTCTCTCTCTCTCTCTCTCTTCTCTCTCT